CAATTTTGAGTAAATTAGCGTCCTTAAATTTCGAAATATCGAAATGCATTTCTGAAATTAACCGTTGTATGAAATGTGACTGTAATTTTAGTCCGATTTCAATAATTTTCAACTCTTTGCTTTTATGCGGCAAGAACAATAACCAATACCGAGTTTGGTACTAATTGGTATAACGGTTACCGAGATACATATATGTTATAATAAGTGGGCGGGGCCACGCCCATTTTCCAAAATTTTATCATAAAGGTATTTCTTGGTAAAAAGTTATTGCAAGCACCAATTTTGAATAAATTAGCTTAGTTGTAGGTACTCAAACTTCACCAAAATCATTTTTCGCTGTTCAATAAAGAAGTGGCCATCACATCAAGGTGCAGGGGTGGTATTTTCAGGGATTGCAGTCGAAAATTCCAGTTTAATTTAAACCAAAGTGAAAGTTTCTATCACCTTTTGTTTCTTTCTTTACAGCTTCTTAAACATTGCCAAAAACGCTAGTGAAAACTTTACACCTCCGGATTCTAATCAGCACAAAAAAGCTTTAACATTTTAACACCAAAAATAGCTTTAACATTGATGCACTAAAGTTAGTGTTGCCCTTTGTAATAGTTACAAAGAACTTAGAAATCGTTTTTTTTTTTTTTTGATATATTAGTCCGATTTTCTTGAAATGTACAAAAATGTGATCACTGAATCCGAATTGCTTCGAATGTATGTGCTACGTTCTGGGTACTCGAATTCAGTGATAGCCCGAGATATGATAGTCGTTGCCCATCTTAACGTCATCTTCCACTGAAATCTTGCCAATTATACCTGAATTAGTCAAATATTGATCCAAATTGTAGATATTTTAGCAAGGTACGATTTTACATTTCGCAATTTCTAAACTACTAATAAAAACGGATGAATATTTCCCAGCCATAACAATTTACCCATGGAACAATTGATATTATAGTGATATCAGTGGGAAAATATGGCCGAATTTTGATTGCATTGGGGGCTATACTTTTGTGTAGTTTCTTTAAGATGGCTTATTCCAAAAAAAAATCAGTTCGTGTAGTCCCAAGAAAGAAAGAAATGGGCGATACACATACACATGTGCATATCTTCTAATATACAAAATACAGTGGTGGAAGAAATAATATAAACTTTTTACTTTGACCAGTTTTGGCTATATTACTTTGTTTATTCGATGTTTAATGTTTTTGTATAAAAGTCTATATAAATCCATATTTCAAAGTTTGTACAAAAATTATAAAAATTCAACAAATTTTAACAAAATCCCCCAAAAATTTCAAACTTTTTAATCAGATTTTTTTATTAAATTTTTAAATTATTAAGAATCAATGCGATTTTCTAGCGTCTTGCGGTTTGCAGTTTTACATACTAAAATTTTATGGGCTATAAAACCGCATACCCAAATTTGTTGAATTTTTATAATTTTTGTACAAACTTAGAAATGTGGACTTATATGGTGTGTGTTATATATTGCGCTAGACTCTTATACAAAAATATTAAACATCGAATAAACAAAGTAATATAGCCAAAAGTGGTCAACGTAAAAAGTTTCTATTATTTCTTCCACCACTGTATATTTATTTTAAATTTTTTTAAAGGGCTTTTATGTTTTCTTCTTTATAGCCAACTGCTAAATTTAATAGTTATTTTTGGATGAGAAAACATTCATATCTACAATATTATCTAGTGGATTGTGGCAAAAACTTCATAAATGGTAGTCCCTCCTTTGGTTGTTGGTTCATTTCTACCATAAACCATTTCCAATGAAAATATTTCTTTGAAAAATTTTGTCAGCTCATCAGATTCGGCTAGCGAAAAGTTGACATTGAAATCTCCTGCGAGAATTACAGGTCGATCATGACAGTCTACTTATCTTTATCTCAATCTTTATCTTTATCTTTATCTTTATCTTTATCTTTATCTTTATCTT